CTCAATTTTATCTGCTTATCCTAATACAATTTATCGAATATAAGATCAACTTTGGTCACATCAAATGAGAATATCCTATACGTTTTGTTTTCATCTTTTATAAGTTCATTCTTACCCGATGTTCTAAATTTGGCCACTATGGACAAGCATATGCATCTCACTTGATCAATTCGGCCAAACATATTCGTTATTTAAGCATGAACGTCAAAATTTGAGTCTCTATAATAAGTCGATTTGCTAGAGTTTTTCATTTGTTTTTATTCTCTTATTAAACGTTCATATCTAATGACGTTAGTGCTCAACTGAAAAAGGCCAGGAAATTCTCTGTCTTGAAATTTCTTTTTTAAATCAAAACTCAAACAATTTTGAGTGATTTTAACAAATTCTTTTTTGGGCAAAGGTACAAAATATTTGCTCATAGCTGTCTTAAACCTATGAAGGAAACTTTCTGCCCATTCGTTTGGCATTTGATGTAAATTCTCTAAGTCGGCCAAAATAACTTCAAACTCAATTTTGTAAAACTGAGCGTGGAACAATTGTTCTAGTTGTTGCCATGTTTGGACCGAATTTGCTGGCAAATTAATGAACTATGAGAAAGCTACTCCTGTTAGCGAACTAGGGAACAATCTCATTGTGTGATAATCAATTACTTCACTACATTACAGTGTCAATCGCCCTATATGTTTCAGAGTAGAAACTTCTCCCAGACCGGTAAATAATGAAAACTCTGGTACTTTGTACCCTCTAGGCCACGGATATGCTAGATCTATCCAATCAGGATATGGTTTTGTGTAAATCGGCCTATTAAAATGACGCATCCCAACAACCATTTGATCATGTATTATCTTCATAATTTGATACATCAACACAATGTTGGGATCATATGGAATTCCTATAGGTTGATATATTGGTAGAATTACTTGAGGCCTAATGTTTGGTCATTGGTTTGTGGAAAAAATGCCGTTATTTAAACCATTATTATCGTTAGCTTGGGTATTTTCGCCATCATTAACTTGCAGTGTATTCTGTCCATTGGTTTGGACATTGTCTCTTGCATTTGGGTTACCCCCCAGGTTTGATACTCCATCATCACTATTCAAATTTGTCATTCCACTACCCCCTGGTTTGAAGTAGATGACCCAAAATGTGGTTCTATTCCTTGATTCGGACCTGGGACTGGGGAACTATGTCCCACAATTGTCCTGACTTGAAAGAGATTCCTTATACTTGACATAACTAGTTGACAAATTTGGCCCACTAACTTATTCATGATTTCATTTAAAGTGTTTAGTTGTTTGGCCATATTGCCATAGTGTACATTTCCATTTTGAGTAAACCTTTCCATATTATGAACATTTTGTAAATTTACCTGTTCAACGACATCTTGTGTGAGTTCACCAAGCAATGCACGCATGGTTCGAAGACTTAATTTTGTCATTACCTGTTCAACGACATCTTATGTGAGTTCGAAGACTCCGTCCTTTCGATCGTGGAGTACTTTGCTGCTCCTCATATCGTTTGATCACATACTGGACTATTCGTTGGCTTGCTGGCTCCTTATCAGAGTTTTTCTGAAGCATAATGCTTCAATTTTCGTATCTTCAAACACCAAGTGTCCTACCGGGCGTGCCAAATTGTTTTGCGTGGAAATCGAGCCTCGCTAACAATTAAAGAAGGTTCAAACGATTGTGTAAGGAACAACAACCTCTCGAGACAAAGTCCCAATAAGGGGTACTTTATTTATGAAGATACAACTTGTAAGAAGCTAAATACCTCCAAGGGGCACAAGCACACTGAATTCGCAAAGTAATTGATAGTTTACCAAGAAGAAAGAAATGAAATTACATAATTCTATGTTTGAGAGTCATTTAATTTGTCCCTCTTCCATGTTTTCTTTTCTCTTTTATACTCATTTGACAGTTTTTTTTTCTTGTAGAACCATTTGAAAACTGCTTATCACCATGTAACTACCCACTTTCTCCATAATGGATGACTTGTCAAGAAACTACTGTTTTCAACTACTGCCATTACTCCCATCATTTAACTGCTTGCAATCAAGATTTTTGGATTGTGGAATGTGATAAGATTACCCATTAATCGTTTCAATAACCGTTGCTTTAAATAACAATCAAGACACTATACTTGCCTAGATCTTGGGCGTCTCGCAGGCTTGAGCGATGATGAGCTAGCTCAGATCTTGGGCGTCTCGCAGGCTTGAGCGATGATGGGCCTCCGCTATTAACTCTGTCTTAAGTTTTTACATGGTCTCGTTTGGGCCCATCACTTAATGATGCTAATTTCATTGGGCAAGCAGCAGTGGGCCAATTGTTCNTTTTTACATGGTCTCGTTTGGGCCCATCTTTCGAATTTCCTAAATGGGCTTCATTCTTTGGACCATTTAATTGGACCTCAATTTTGTATGTCAATAAATGGAATCATTGAGCAATAAATCTCTAACCATTTTTCCTCAAGTTAAACAGTGTCTTCTGGTGGGGTTGGAGCGTAATTTATTATTAATTAAAAAAAAATGAAATTATTTGTCAAGATTTGATTAAAGGAACACCGAGACATGAAGATGGGGGCAGCAGATTTATAAACACCTTGCCAACATGCGCTAACAATTTGGTACATGGATGGACTAAACTTCGCTATATTTATGTTATCTTTTTTTTTTTTTTTCTTATTTCTGTATAATTTTCTTTCGGCGAGTGGTCTTCAATGTGCTGACATGATAAGCTTGTCCTAATATTGGAGATGAAGCTTTTATTTAGCGGCTTCCCAAACTTTATGATTTCATTGCACTCATGATTTAGTGATTCAATAAAATACAACGTTTATTTTGTCAAGAAAAACAAAAGAAAGATTAAATTGAACAAGCTATTATATTATATAGACAAAAAAGGGAAAAAAAAGGAACATGCAACAATCAACAAAGACATAACATGTGTTTAATATCCGGGAGTAAACAAAACTAGACAAAAATTTAAGCAAAGAGATATATCATATACGAAATTGATCTACTAAGCACCAGGTGGCGTGACACACTGTAATATGTGATGTAATCAGTTTTGTCGACAATCATTATCTCACATCACTTATTATAGTGTATCTGTCAGCTGAGTGCTTAAAAGTTCAATTCTAATATCATATATTATTATTATTATATTTAGTATTATTTAATGTAACATATCAGGCTCATTATATATATTTTTTTCTTATTTTGTAAGTACTCATTTAATTGGGCCATATATTGTTACATCATATGATTCACCAGCCTCCAAAGTTCAATTATGTATTATAGAGTTAATAAAATCAAAATATAAGTTATTTCTTTCTTCTCACTACATATTTCTTTTGTACTTTTGGTCAATCAATTCTTTTACCTAAAAATTTTCCATTAGACTAGGAGCTTGCTCAGCTAAGTTTAAAAATATACTCGTAAATAAATAAGTTTTAAAATAATTATTCATTTTCAAAGTTAAAATAAGTAAATCGTTTATTTTAAAAAAACTATTTACGATAAGGAAAATCATGTTGGATTTTCCAACCTTTTGTTTAGTATGATTATAGGTCTCAAATCTTTAAAAGTAAAATTATGTCCTTAAACTATTTAGCTTGAAATCTGGGTAGCCATGTGACTAAAATCACTCATGTGGACGTTAAAATCACAATTAAATTTAAGTGTGTGAAAATTTTGCCATCCAATTCTATGTCATGTGAAAGTCGAATGTAATTTTAATGAATAAGAAATTAGGATGGAACCATCCAACGTTTCATGCGGGGTAATTTTGAATCCAACTTTCAAAAATGAGGTATTAGGTCCTCTATCTAAAATTGTAGATTTGAATTAACTATTTTATATGTGAAAATCCCACACCACTCAAAACTAGACTGCAAAATCATCAAATTACTTAACATTTCTCTCTCATTCATTTGAATGTTTCTTGCAGTTTTACTATCCACATTGAAGACGTTTGCAACATGGAGATCAGATCCACAAATTTAGCTAAGTTGAGTACAAGCTTCATTTTTTTTGAAGAATGAAGATTTAGAATTACACTAAAAGAAAAGTTGAGGATCCAAAACTAATTTTCTTTATTTTAACGGCACTCGTCAGCTGACTATCACATTGAGACCTATATTTACATTTTTGAATAGTTTACATATTCGGAAACTTACTTTAAAGATTGAGAATTCATAACTACACCAAACCTAACCCCGATTTTCCCTTTATAATACATGCAACTTTTTTTTATATATAAAAAAAATAAAAAATCACTTAAAAACAATTTTTACTTATTTTTAAGTTAAACCAAATATATACCATTCTTTGAGATCGACCTGTCGTCGAACTATTGAACATGAAAACCTCCTCCCTTCAAATATCCAAATCATAATCTGATGAGATTCCCATTTTGCATTTACATGTAAAAATATCTCTATCCAAAAATAGTAGTTTATGATACTGTTACGAAATTTCCAGGAAAAAAAAAATAAAAATTGTTTCTTGCAGCTACTTGACAGCCAACCCAGACCAAACTGTACCCATCCCCCTCCTGGAGCTTTCCCTCTTTCTTGAAGCAATTAATTTCTTTCTTTACCCATATTTTTTTTACTCCGTTTGTTTAAAGAAGCTGTCGAATTTCGTTTTCTTTGTGATGTGTTACGAACTTCCAGTTTGCAAGAAATGTATTGCTTGCATCTACTCTGTCCAGTGACATTTCAACTATAAATCTCTGTTTTTCTACCCAATTTGTTTCTATTAAATATAAGTGAGTTTCATATTCCTTTCTCGGGGGCTGCAGATTTCTGGGTTTTTCTTGATCTTGGATTTGTGGGGAGTCTGCAAAATGAGGAATTGGAGATGCGTTTTTTCTATGATTGTTTATTTCGCATTTTGTTTGAGTATTGAAGCTTTCAAGTTTGATAGAACTCAACAAACAGAGAGAATCTCAGGTAAGAAGAATTTGTTTGTGTTTACTCTTTCTTTATTTTCATTTCGAACGGTTGATATTTTATATTATTAGTTAGTTTAGATGAGATTTAGTGGGTTATTTTGGATAAACTTCGTTGATTTGGAAAAATATGGATTTTGGTATTTGTGATTTCAGAAAGGTTTGAGATGGGAATGCAAGTTAGGGTTCGGTTGTGTTGTGGGAAGTTGCAAGGATTGACTGTATATTGTTAAAATTATAAATGAATTGTGAAAATTGGATGTGGTATTTCTCTGTGTTGAAGTTTAGAGTCTAGTGTTCATATGTTAACTAGAAGCAGGAATGATGGTTTGCTTTGATTGGATTGGTTGTTAGTGTTCTTTCAGCTTGGACACACTTCTGCCAACATCAAGCATCAATAATACATTCTATTTGAATGAAATACTGCAAACTCCCTATTTATGTTCCTCCGTTAGAGGTACCATAGTATATTACTAGTTGATGTTTTTTTCTTGATCGTGCCGTTCAGGTACTGTCTTAAGTATGATATAAATTGCGGTACATATAAAGAGATGATTCCTTCATTCTCTACCACATATAAAGAGATGATTCCTTCATTAAGTAGTAAATTGATTTTTTAACCTTTTTTTTTTTTAATAACCGTGAATGTTCGGATCAGATTGTGCGCATTTTGACTAATTCCACGGGATCTTAAAGTTTACGGTCGGGTACTCATCTCAGTGGCCCTGAGGAGACTCGAATTGGTGACCATTGGGGAGCAAACCCAAGATCTGACCAATTGAGCAACCTCTCAAGTTAACCTGACCCCAATGAACCGCAGAATTTTGACATTTCAACTCCAGCTGCAAAACTCTAGCAAGAAAAAGGTGATTTATGGTACCTGAGGAAATAGCGGAACCTTCTACAGGCTTAACCACGTTTTCTTGAAAGGATTGAATTTGCAGTTTAAGAAAATATCGTACGTCATTAGTTGGAAGTGTTAACATCTATGCACCTGAATAGGATTCTGAATATACCACTGTCTGTTGCTGATAATTCTGGCTTCTCTTTAACCTGAACTTTTGGTTTGAGATATTTTAGGACAAGGTCTGGGGTAGGGTCAAAGTTACTTTTATGTTTTAGTATGAAAGTGCATATAAAATTGGTACTGGTGTTCCAAATTTAGGTATGATAATTTTTTAACGAAAGACAGATAGTAGGAAGAATTGAGATTTATCTTCTATTGCCTGGAATATAAAGAATAGGCATTCAATTGAAAGAAATTAAATTTAATTGAAAGAAATTAAATTTATACTGTTGTATCATATCGAGGATGAATTTGTCTAAGAAGAGAAAATAATAGCTATTTTTGACAATGGGCAGCATACAATATTTTTCAGTCCAGAGGTCTTCAGCTGAGAAATTGCAGACTTATGTTTGAAAATGGCGTTTCATGTGTCTGGGGCCAATATTTTGGCAATGTTGGAAGCTTTGAGCAGGGAGTTGTATTTTAGGTTCCCAGGAAGGAGAGAATTATTGTAGTGAAAGATTGGTTTTATGTAGTTAGGTGAACTATTTTGATCATAAAGTTGATTTTGTATCTTATGATGCTTAGTAAAGTTAAGATTGAAAGAACTTCTTGCCTGCCTTTTTGAAGATGTTGCACGGACGCGTTGGCACTCCTGCCACCAGGCAAGCCATTTTTGGGGCCTTGAATGGATGTTGAGAAGAAAGATAAATTAAGGCCATGTGACTCCAACTATCTTAAATCAAGATAAACTTTTGAGGTTCAAGCAGCATCAAACATAAACTACTTTTTTCTCAACATGTATTGGTGTCACTGAGGGAGCTACAGAGGTGCAAGGTTTCTAGATCCATATTGGGTATTTATATGGTGTAATAGTATAATTGTTTAATGAAAGCACGTAAAGCTGATATGTTCCCCGGTTTAGTTAGGGAAGTTTGATTTCACGTTTACTTTCTTTGCCAAATCACGCTCGTGAAAATGTAATACGCTGTATGTTCTCCGGTTTAGTTAGGGAAGTTTGATTTCATGTGTACTTTATCTGCCCTTCATTGTTATTAGAACTTCACTCTAGTGAATCTCTGTTTAAAATTAAAAATTAAGCGTTACTTTATCCAAACAGCCATTGCAGCAAAAACAGTGCAGAGCCTTCTGAGCGGCCTTTCCAAAGGATGTTCAGGCCATGAATTTAAAGCACATTTAGTTGGGAGGATTGAAGATTAATAATTAATAAACAATATTAAGAAAACGAAGCTAAAATTAGTTCATTATAATGTCAATTTCAATCAAGTAGTGCATATCAAACATGCTTTTGGAGTACTGATCAATTCATGTGAACTGAAACCACTAAACAAAAAAGAAGTTGCTGAATTAAAAAACACCATTTTTGCTGAAGGTGAGTTGTGAGAGGCCATGATTGAAACATGCCTTCAGGGCACATGGACATGCTACTGCAGGACTATTCTAATTTATTTGTTGTTATGCATCCTAATTTATTTTTCAGAAGAATTAATAAACTGGCTACTCTTGGTCTTAAACTATAGCATCTCATGACATGTTTGGATGACTGCTCGATATAATTGAGCCTTTCTTTATCTTGACTTCATTCATTCTGTTTAATTCTCTTGGAAATAGTTCTATCTTGCTCACTAAGTTGAATCTGATTTGTTTTCCTAATATATTGTTTAACTTTCGAAACTACTGATTTCATACCTACATTAGAATGTGCTAAAGTTTATAGTTTTCTCGGTATATCAAATGGTTTCACTTTGAAACATAATCTTCAAATGATAGTGGGAATCCCTTAGAAATAATGCAAAACAGATTTTATTTTATCCAGGTGCTTGTAGTTATGTCCACCCTTGTTTCGTGGGGATTAAAATCAGATTTTTAGTAGATTTTGATAAAAGTTGATGAAATGTGTGGTTGAAAAATTACGAGTCCCATGAAATATATGATTAAAATTAATTATTGATTTTGACTTAGATTAAAATCTAGATTTTAATTTCTACCAAATAGGGGCAAAGTTTATACTTTTGTATGGTGTCTTTGCTAGTGTACAGTATCAGTTATGTTTGGACAATGTGACACAAAAGCAGGGTTTAAATTAAATCATTTTATTCATGTTAACATGTCTTATTTGAGATTTACATGGTGTCAATTGATAAACTTTGCTTTCAGATTTTTAAACTATGAGTCATTGAATATGCCTGGACTTTGAAATTTTAGGTAGTGCTGGCGATGTCTTGGAAGATGATCCAGTTGGAAGGTTAAAGGTTTTTGTGTACGAGCTTCCCAGCAAATACAATAAAAAAATTCTGCAAAAGGACCCACGATGCCTCACTCATATGTTTGCTGCTGAGATTTTCATGCATCGCTTCCTTTTATCGAGTCCCGTCCGAACCCTAAATCCCGAGGAAGCAGATTGGTTCTATACACCTGTATATACGACTTGTGACCTGACACCAAATGGTCTCCCTTTACCATTCAAATCACCTCGTATGATGAGGAGTGCTATACAGCTTATTTCTTCCAACTGGCCTTACTGGAATAGAACTGAAGGGGCCGATCACTTCTTCATTGTGCCTCACGATTTTGGTGCATGCTTTCACTATCAAGTAAGAAGTTTGCTGTCTTTATAACCCATAATACAAAATCTCCGAATGCACTTATCAAGTTCATATAATTTCCTCAATACTGCAGGTGGTAGAAATAATAATTTGTAGGAGTAAATTGAAATCTTTTATATATTTTACTATTCTCATTGCAGGAAGAAAAAGCTATTGAAAGAGGTATTCTTACATTGCTCCAGCGTGCTACCTTGGTTCAAACTTTTGGACAACGTAACCATGTTTGCTTAAAGGATGACTCCATTACAATTCCTCCATATGCTCCTCCGCAGAAAATGCAAACCCATTTAATCCCGCCTAGCACTCCTAGGTCCATCTTTGTTTACTTCCGTGGTTTGTTTTATGATGTGGGAAACGACCCAGAAGGTGGCTATTACGCAAGGTATATTATTAGACCTGCATCTACAGATGTTTAAATGGTGTTGCAAACTAAGTCGAATAGAGTTATGATCTAAAACATTTTGACCTTACATATTGGAAAAATCTGAAGTCTAAAATTTATTTATTTTTCAAATTTTACAGGGGTGCACGAGCATCGGTATGGGAGAATTTTAAGAACAATCCTCTATTTGACATCTCAACAGAGCACCCAAGTACCTACTATGAAGACATGCAAAGGGCTGTTTTTTGTTTGTGCCCACTTGGATGGGCTCCATGGAGTCCTAGATTGGTAGAAGCTGTCATTTTTGGTTGCATCCCTGTTATCATAGCAGACGATATTGTCTTGCCATTTGCTGATGCAATTCCCTGGGAAGATATAGGGGTGTTTGTAGCTGAGAAGGATGTTCCTAAGTTGGATACAATTCTCACTTCAATTCCGATTGACGAAATATTGAGGAAGCAGAGATTACTTGGCAACCCTTCGATGAAGCAGGCGATGTTATTCCCACAACCTGCACAGCCGAGGGATGCTTTCCATCAGATTCTGAATGGACTTGCTCGCAAGTTGCCACATGATAAGAGAGTATATCTGAAACCGGGTGAGAAGATCCTTAACTGGACAGCGGGTCCAGTTGGTGACCTCAAACCTTGGTAGGGGGATGATTTTCGAGATGTTTGAACTTGCTACTGGCCTGGCCCTGAGCCCGCGCTGAATTGGAAGTGTTGATCGAGAAGGATTAGGTCATGTATAGTTCAAGGGGACAGGTGATTTGAAACCTGATCAACATCTGAAGTGTGATATTGACTTGCATAATTCAATCCTTTTGCAGATATAGGGTTTGTTATAGTGAAGAAATTGATCTTCATTTATTTGAAATCATCATGCTATTTTGTCATTAGAGTTGTGTATTTCTTTCTTGGTGATGTGGTTTGGTTTGCTTTATTTTCTGGCCTGGGCCCAGTTGCCCGAAATGGTCCGTGCTTGCAAGCTTCTGTTGCCCTCGCATTTTTCTGTACGAGACGACTTTCTTTCGTTTTGTCATACAATTTCGAACTATGATATTTCAATATTACTAAATTAAACAGATAAAGCACATTCTTCCACATTTGATTCGGTATATCGTTGACATAATGAAAATTGCGCTACTCCGAGACTACCAGGTTCGTGCAGATGTCAATTGACACACAATTAGAATTTGATACGTACACAAATTCAGATAACTTACTCAACGCAGATGTTCGCAAGGCAAGGAAAGCAGAGCTGAAAGAGATGAAGCCATTGGTTAAAGCCATTTTTAAGCCTTCAAACATAATGTACAACACTTGCAAACCTTTGATGATATGAACCAAAACTTAAATGAGAAAGTCTACTGGTACATTAGCTTATACAGCAAGGAATCCATAATTGATGACGTGGCGAGATTTTGAATCAAAATCTCGTTTAATTTAAAAAAAAAAACCAAAAACCCCAAAATTAAAACCCTCAATTTTTCACATTTCCCTCTCAAATTTCCTCGTTTCTTCGAAGGCGACTAGAAGGAAGCTCTCAAATTCCTTGCTGCTTGGAATTTTGTCCATGCTTTCCGGTACCGACGCAGGTGAATTAGAAGCCGTCCAACAACGATCAACCCTGTATAGTAGTTAGTTTCTTCCAGTAGCAATCGGATTCGACCTTCATTCCAGTAGCAGTGCATTTTTTGGAAGCTTCAGGCATGGACAGTGAAGTCGACGGCGAGGACGGCAACAATGGTGAAATAATTATCTTTCCTTTTTGTACGAAATTTTTGATTTTTTTCCTGCCTATATGCACATTGAAATTCTAAAACTCTCCTGTTCACAATCTCATACGTCCCTACAGATAAGCACAACCATAGTAACCAAGAAACTGAACACGGGTACGACTATATTGTGGAAGTCGATTCTAACAGTGGTAAAACTTACTGCCTTTTCAATTGGAATGCAATTTTTTTGAGCTGAAATGAAATTTCAACTAGTTAAATGTGTGAAAACATCTTTCCTTAATCTTATTAGTCATGGAAAAAATAAATATGAACTGCTTACTTGCTTGCTTACAGGAATGGAGATTAACTCATTGGAGGATCAAGTGATGAGCATAACATCTCCTCCACCACCTCAAGCGTTTGGGACACGATACAGTATGGAAGTTATAAAAACTTTGCAGTGAACCATCAGATTTTTTGAGAGACAACTTTTGATGTTGGTGATGTGCCAGTCTCTTAATTGTTGACAGATTTTTGGGAGGTTTTTTGATTTTGTAATGTCTCTATTTTGGGCTCGATTGTAATTATGATATGAAAACCTTAAGTCAGATAGAGTTGTAATTCTGATATGAAAACCTTTAGTCAGATAGAGTTGTAAATTCTGATATGAATTTTGTTTTTGCTGTTTATTCTTCTTGGTCCAGATGTAGCATCAGACTATGTTACAGAAGTTTGATGCTTAACATGTAATTGTACTTCCATATATCTTCTATTTTACAGAACTTTGATGGGGTATACCAACCTGTGCAGTGCATTTGCTTCTAAGAAGCAGTAGCAGTGCATTAAGAATTTTTTTGTATTTCATTTGCTACATCCCATTTGCTTCTATTAGCTACATCCCATATAATCTCTATTATCTACATCCCACTAGCATTGCATTAAGAAGCAAGATTGTCTTCTAAAGTTAATAAATGCAAAGTTCATAAAGCCAATTTGCATATACAATAGTACAAAGTTCATAAAGTCAACTACATTCTCAACACAACCAACTACAACTACGTATACAACAACCAACAATAACCATGTAAGACATTCTGCTTCTTCATCGTTTTCTTCACAACCAACCAACAACAATACAAAGTTCATAAAGCCAATTAGGTACTGCTTCTTCATCGTTTTCATTGCTATTATTAGCCCCACCAGCCATAACCATGTAAGACATTCAGCCTCTTTGTTTTTGTGGACTGCAATCTCCCTGCCCAAACAGGATTACAATCTGACCCTATTGGTTTTAATCTCCATTCAGCTTCTTCTAAGGTTCTACCCTCTTGCTTCTGACCTCAGAACCCTAATTGGTTCTTCTGTGTTCGCTCTGTTGCTCATTCGAACATGGTGGATTGGCAGCTCCATGGTAAAAGAAAGCAATTACCTTCGGCTGTTCTAACCCGTGGATTCCTGGAGTAAAAAATGAAAATTACAATATAGAAAAGGCAAATAGGTAATCAAGGGTATACCGGTGTACATCATTTTACCATTTGAAAATGAGTTCTGGTAAGGCGATGGCGCCTTCGTGGTGGTGGATGCGACCTTCGGGGTCTTTCATGGTAGTGGAGAGATGGTCGATGGAACTGGGAGCCTCCTTCCTTCATGGTAGTGGAGCGAAGGGCGATGGCGCCAGGAGCCTTCCTTTGTGGTGGTGGGACGATGGGCGAAGGCGACGGGGCGCCGGGGGCCAACGATTTGGGGGAATGAAGGGTTTGAATTGGGTTTAATTGATTTGGGGGTTAAATGGGGGAAAAGCGTGCCTTGAAAGGTTAGGGGTGTTTTTTATAAATTTTGCAACAATTTAAATTTTTTGTCAAAATACCGTCAAAATCTTGTCACATCATCATTATGGATCCCTTGCTGTATGCTCTGATGTACCAGTAGACTTTCCCATTTTTAATTATAGTAACATAATCTAGAGATGACAATAGAGCAAGGCAAGCCTGATCCCCCATAGGGATTTCGTCTAAACGGGATGGGAATTTCACGTTTAACCGGCTTAGCGATGTCGGGAAGGCAAAGAAATTTGCCCCGAGTTCAAAAAGAAATTAGGACGGGAAAAATAAGCAGGGATTAGTGGTGTCAATCGGTTCGGCCCATACTCACACGAGCTCGTTGGTTTTTGGGCGAGCTCGACTCGTGCCCAAGCTCTCCCAAAACAAGCCGCCCGGCGAGCCGAGCTGGCTCGTCATTTTTTACGTCAATTTTTTTTTAACACTACCATAACTAATTAACTAAATCTTAAATTCAAAATATATATATATATACACATTTTC